TGAACCAAAGTATACAAAATCTCCAACCACTTCAGTTTCTTCATTGTCAAAAGTTGTGTATTTGTTCTGTAGCCATTTTTTTTTATCTTCTTAACATTCATCTTCAGTCCTGCTTTTTAAAAAATCTTCTTAACATTCATCTTCAGTCCTGCTTTGGTGCTTTCTTCTTTCCCTTTCACTAAAAGTCATTTCAGGTCATTGCTGCTTTTTGCTACTAAAATGGTGTCATCTGCATATCTTAAATTATTGATGTTTCTTCCACCAATTTTCACTTACTCTTCATCTAGTTTGGCTCTCTGTTTGATACTTGTAAAAGAATACATATAATTATTATTTTTTCTCAAGAGAAAAAAAAGACTGATGCTCTATGGTTGGCATCTGGCTGCAGAGCCAGAGGTTGGGAGTTTGATTCCCAAGTGTGCCTCCTTAATGATCCAGCTCTACAGTTCTAAGATGCGGACGATGTAACAAGTTAGTTTAGGGGAAAGTACTAATAATAACATACTATGGGGGGGCAGTTCTAAGGACAACATTACAAGTTCTGGTAATTATCCATGCAAGCAGTAAAAAGGGCAAAATTGTAACTACAGAAAGGAATGTGGTGAGAAGGGGGGGGAGTCCAAAATCATAATTGCTAGATTTTCTTCCCCCAAGCATGCTTGCAGTGCTGTAATTCCCAAACAGCAGTGCTCTACACAGAACTGCTGGTTTTCTGCAAAAATTAAAAGAGTAAAACTTGCCTGTCAACCTAAACCAGGATCTGGCAAGCTCCACAGGTCCCAGGGCTAGCTTTTTTCTAGCTGTAGGAGCCTGAAGCAGTAGCAGCAGCAGCCCTTAGTCCTCCAAATGAAACCAGAACTGGCTGGAAGATGAGTTTCATTTTTGTTTTTGGATCTCAGGCAACCCGTAAATGGGCAGAAACTTTACTAAAATTGCTTTGTAAGCTCCAGGGCCGCAAAATGGCAATGGACTTCAATGCAGGTCAACAGCCTCATTGTTCTGGCCCTTGGACTAACATATCTCCCTGCAGAGGAGTTTGCTTGTAGCTTTTATGGACAATTAACTGCCTTTAACCTACCTCAGCAGAGATTGTATCAAAAGAATTAATTACTAGTAAGTAGAAGTGCATATTTCAAATAAAAGTGCAAATGCAGATTTTCAATCAAGCTGCAAAGCAAAATTGCCTATCCCAGGACAGTGCCTAAGGTAGTGAAACGGGGAAGGTACCTCAGACTTTCAGTCTTCTCATACTTCAGTTCTGCACCTGAGAAGGTTTTCTGTTAAAATTCAGAGTAAAAGTGTGTCTCTACGATCAAAGAGTTCAGGCAAAGATTACTGCATCTTAAAAAATGCAACTTTTGCTGTCCAGAAAGAACCTGGATAATGTTTAATGAGTGCAAGCAACAGAATTGGCAATCTTGCTCAAGTGGACACATTTTCATGCAAAGATATTTCGATGCATAACAGTATGTTGCCTTCATTTTAGGGATGTTAATCTTCTTAACTGAGAGTGGCTCAATTACTTGTACAAGTGATATAAGTGTGAACATCCTGTATTTGCCAAGTGTTACAAGTTCTCAGAAACCACTTTGAAATAATTATTTAGTGAAACTATCTCGGATGCAGAAGCTCTGGGTTCATTGTTGTGTACCTCATGCCATTTCACACCGCTCTACCAATTTCTCTTTAAAAACACCTGCAACTATATTTTCTTTTTATCCTATAATTCCAATTCTCAACCAAGCAAAACCCAAGATGGAAATGAATGTAGAACTGGGCTAAAAATAAATTGCTGCATTCTACATATTGATCCTTATTACTGTTTCTCTTTTCCCTCCTATTGTAATACTATAATTGAATGATTTGGTGTGGTAGGGATGGTGTTTGCCTGTATTTATATTCTTGGTAGATTAGGAATAGGAACATAGGAAGCTGTCATATACTGAGCCAAATTATGGGACAGCTAGAGTGGTTGTCACACTCTGTAACAGCTGCATAGGTATTCTGGCAGCAATCGTCAGCACTACTAGCTGAAGATGGCAGGATTTGAACCTGGAAATATCTGCTGAGGGAGTTAAGCAGAGGAAATGGTGCATGGATCAGCCCTCCATGAGGACAAAGAATGGGTCTAAGTGAAAGCAGAATAGTTTGGAAAACATGCTTTCCTCCTTGATCAATGAAGCCTAGTTCTATAACAAGTGATGTGATGAATATATTTCTGTGATGTAGCGCTTCAGACTCTAGGGGTGTGTGTGTCTGTGTCTAGGTAGAGGAGTAAGCTATAGAAGTCGACCTAAAATGTACTGTATCTTTGTAGAGATGAAGTCTGGCCCCATAAGATTTCCCAAGTCTCATTCAACAGATTCATTCGTGCTTATGAGGAAAAATCCTTCTCCCTGGCCCAACGTCTGTGAATATACTTCTCATCATTTCAACAAACATAGTTATGAATTTTATAGGTATGCTTAAAAATATCCCACTTAGAGTACTAAATTAAATGGCCATATATTTAGCTATCTGTGACAACATGTTCCAAACTGACAGTGTAAAGCTCTGCAATTAAATCTATATTGGGCACTTACATAAATCTGTGGTCAAAATTTCAAAGGTGTTAAGTATCGTACGTGCCAGTTGAAGTCACTGGGAATTGCAGGTACTTGTCACCTCAGAATAGCCGGCTCATTATACTGCTAACCATATGTTACCAGTTTGAAACCTTTTGGGACTGATCCTTACTTGCAAAGGTATTATGTTTTAGCCACACTGGTTAGACAAGAACACTGCTGTAGCCACATGTAGACTAGAGAGTACAGACTGCAGGTCTCAAATGAAGTTTGTTTGTTTTTTTGTTTTTTTGAGAATCTGATGTTCTGCTTAGCAAAGTATGTTGCTGCATCTCATGAACATGAAGAAAAGCTTTCAGAAGTCCTAAAATAGACCAGGTCCTCTGAGTCATATGGCACAGGTGCCTCCATCGTTCTGTAATCTTTCTCTTACCTGCTAATTAGATAAGTTTTGCTCCACCCGTTCTAGTTCATGTGTCCCTTTCTAGACAATGTAAATACAAAGGCAGGTAAAAAAATTCTTATGATTAAATCCCATTGAAAACAGGGAAACAAGGAGCAGCTACCTTAAACCCTGTTGTTTTCAGTAGGGCTTCACATTAGATGTGACTTAACCGGTTTAACTAGTCTCAGTGAGATTTAGTTTGAATAAATTTTAGCTGGATTGAGGCTTTTTGTTTTTTCATCTTGTTCTGGCAGGTGAACCACATCTTTTTATTTTTATAGTACTGTGTAGTCATTCTGCACTCTTTTAACATATATAATGCTTGTGGCTCTGCTGTCTTTAGACTTTAGTCTCTCCAGTCTTGTGTTGAAATTATCTTAGTTTTTCAACTGAATACATTTCTCTTGGAACAGTATCTGTAACAATGTAGCAAATTGGAGACAAAATGGGATGATAGCCATCCAGTACAGGTACTTGTTTTGCATGTTAGTTAGAATTGTAAAAAATTTTGTGTGTGCTTTTGCTTAAAGCAGCCCTCTAAAAACAAGACTGTGCTCTGGTAATTGTAGAATTGTGAATTCTTGAAACCTGTGTCTGATCAGAAAAAGTGTAATAGAGCTTTCACTTGAGCTACCATATAAGTTACCTTCAACACAGTGTTCTCAGATGGTCTCTCTGTCATTTACTTTATTGTGTCTGTCATTTACCAGCGCATTGTGATTTCTATGAATTGATATAGAAAGCAAACTTAATTTCTATTTATCCAGTCTCTTTCTTGCATAATCACATAGAGAATATATAATTTGTGAGTGTATTCATAATGAATGTAGAACTGCCAGCTAGCCAAGACGTGACTCGGTAATAAAACTGAATTATGTCAGGTAATTTGGTTTGGAGTTAAATTGTAGATTGTGCCACTTATGCAAACAAAGAGGTCAGTAATTTTAAAAAGAACAATTGGAAACCCTCATCATACCTCACATGAGCATTGTTGATTCTTAAATACCCATACTATTAAATAACTGTTGCAGAATAGCAAAAAGCGATTCCTGCTTCCAGGCTTATACTGGGAGGAAATCCTACATGGAGACCTGACCTCTCCAAACATACCTATGGTCTCCTTTCCTAGAGCAGGAGTGGACTGCCATTTATCTCACTGCGTTATGCTCTCAGTCCTTATGCATGCATTTATTTCCTGGTGAAGAATGTGGAGTCTGTTTAATAACTTAAAATTTTGGCAACCTGAAATCAAAATTGCTGGCTGTAGCATTGCCTTCGGCTACCATACCATGATATATGGTCTTCCTTGGTCTAATTCAGCATGTTACCTCTTCTGTTGTTTTATTTATCATCTGCCATACATGAGTAAATATGGCTAGAGTGACAAATGCCTTGAGTTAAGAAGCTGTAAAAGTATGCTGGATACCTTGGGAAGACTCTGAATGGGCCCTTCAAATCATGTGGGAGGCATTCGGCAATGCCAGGTCACGCTGCATCTCTTCCTCATTGCAGCATTATCCTAGTTACCATGTATTCTGATGTTACCAAGGTATTGCAGGAAGAAATAGCACAAAGGTTGTGTTCATAGTACAAAAGTAATTCCAGAAGAGCCCCTGAGAGCCATCTACACGTTATATAAAATGAAGTGATAATCAACCTTGATGTTGTCCCACATCTGCAAGATTGCAAGTTGGATGTGATATTCTGGAATACTCTGCCATATACTAAGTGTCCCACCTCCAGTAAAATAAAATGTTGTCCTCTCCCTGGCATGCTTGCTGGCTATATTCAGGGAGCTTAAACAAACAAACAAACAAAACCAGAGTAGGAAGAACAACCTTCAGAACATGGTCAAAGAGCCCAAAAAACCCACAACAACCATTAAAACCAGAGTAACCACATTAATTAGATGATTTTTCTTGGTGTTTGGGCAAAGGGTGACTGATTAGTTCTCTCTTTTTTTGTGCTTTATTTAAAAAAAATGTGTCTAGGAGAGAAGCCATACAAATGCACATGGGAAGGATGCGACTGGAGATTTGCTCGCTCGGATGAATTGACCCGCCACTACAGGAAGCACACTGGGGCCAAACCGTTCCAGTGCGCGGTGTGCAGTCGCAGCTTCTCACGGTCTGACCACTTGGCTCTGCACATGAAGAGACATCAGAACTGAGCTGGACATGTCCATTGAAGCTCTTGGTATCTATGCAATGTCCCAGTCACTCGAATATATACATTCAGTTAGAGTTAGCGAAGTGTTTATATGCGTATGAACTTTTCTTCCATTTTAAAACAGGAAAAAATTAATAATGAAAGAAACTGGAAATGTATATTTTGTATATTTATGAGGAAACAGGGATGACACTGTGTGGCAATACTTGGATTGTTTCACCCTTTTGTGGCCATGTGACTTACTGTTTATGTATTTGATTTTATTCCCCTTCACAGGTATCATCTCAGGGCTGCCTCTCTTGTTACGTATTTTGCAGATATGAATTGGTCAGGTCACCCAACCCTCAGTTACATTTTTCTTTTCGTGTGTGTGTGTGTGTTGCATGCTCACATGTCATCTCTTCTCTCTGGAGACTCAAGTGAGAATGGACTATCTAAGCAACAGATTTAACCTGAATAATCTTTCCCTTTTCCCAAGGAACTCTAAGCACTGTTTTCCATGGGAATCTCTTACATGCCTAACTACAATTCCAAGCAGTATTTGCAAGAAGCAACAGCAATTACATGATATACAGCTGATACAAATGTGTTGTATAGCTATGTCCTGCATCATGTCTGCAAAATACAACACAGGAAGTATGTCCCTAAATTTAAGTATTGTATTGTGTCTCAGAAGCTCTGATACTTAGATTTCTAGTGTCCTGACCAAAACATTCTTGCAAGAGCAAGCAGTGTTTAGGAAATCTAATTGAATTTGAATTTACAGTCCATTGAATCTAGAGGACAAGCCACAATTTCTTTTCTGTGAGAATTTTACTGGATGTTTTAATACGTGTGTTATATTTTATTTTTTTCTGTGGAAAATAAATATATAGAGAGACAAATTCATAAATAGCCATAGAACAAAATGTTCTGTATGTTGCATGTTTGCTATGACAAAGATTTTGTAAATATGCAAATCAGCTTTTAATTGTTTTATTACAAAAGAATTTTCTAGAAATCAGCTAGAAAAAGTAGCAGACATATTAGTTTTGGCAGTTTAATGTGGCACATCTAAAATTCAGCCATTTTTAAATACCTCCAAATGGTACCGCCTTAGTTTCATAATCAGAGAGCCATTCAGACACTTTCTTCACACAGATATGATGCACTGAATTTTCAGAACAGTCATTTTTTTCTAAATGTTGTAAATGAAAAATTTGAAAATAGGAAATGCTAAGCAACTGTCAGATGCTTAAATAACAAGGGTGGCTATGATACATAATGTTAAACCTCTTACTATAAGCTAAAGTTAATATTGCTTGAAAAAGAAGGATTTAGAATGTGGTTTTAGAATAGTAAAAACACTAAGCTGGTTCAACACCAGCATAATCTAATTCTGTGTAAAATTTGCCCCTGATTCAACTGTATAGCAGCCAGGGTTATATGCATAAAAACATGTGAAAGAAGCTACAGTTGCACTGATCAACTGGGGGGAGAAAACAGCTATTGGTGTGACTGCTAGCCTATGCGATATATATGTGCAGCCCTGGTTGCAGGATCAGGTTAGGGAATCAAACACCCAGCAGCTGTTGATCTGGATGATTCTCTGCCCATCCAGTGATAATGTATACTGAAACCTTCTGTGTATTTATCTATGTAATATGTATAGTTGGGTCTTGGAGACTGTGCAGCTTTCCAAAAGGTAAAGGATAATGTAATAGGTTTTTTAAAAAATCTCTAATTAAAATATAAACAATTTTTCCCAATTGCTGTGCCTATAAGTTGTAGCACGAATACAGAATATTTTGTTGGTAGGGTTTAGCTCCAATTACTGCAGCTAAGGATGGGTCAGGAGCCACAACTGGCAGTTTTGTACACATGCTTATTCTATTGCCAGTCTTACCAAACATCACACTTGTTTCTCCCATATATTCCTACCAAAGTGAGAAAACACTACTGTTTCAGAATGCTGCTGCCTGTGTATCTACCTAGCCCTGCATAAGGAGAGAAATCCATGGTACTTTGCATAGACACATTAAAGTGGAAAAGAAAACAGCACCATAACTAACAACGACAGCATAAAGAGATGAACCGTGAACTCCTGCCAACATTGGAAGGGATGGAGCAAATAAAAATGCTCAGCTTTTAAAGGATGTAGTGCTACTCGTTTTTGTGTTTCAGGAACTCTCTCAGAGTTCTGTTTATTTAAAGTAAAAATCAAAATAGTATCTTCTCAATATGAGATTTCATAAATTAAAGGAAGAAATTGAAGCAGTACAAGGCAGTTAAGGGGATGTTTATGAATAGTAATCCTTGTTCTTACAAGAAGCAAGGAAAAAAGTTCCCTTCAGGTTAATGAAGCATACCCCTTCATGTTTATGATTAGCTTCCCAGTCATTATAGTTGAGGAGTGGGTTTGATCCCAACAAACCAAAGCACTTCTAGGTTCTGCTAACTTCAGTGGGTCAGTTAATTACGTGCTGAAGAGCATACATACACATTTACTTGTCAATAAGCCCTGCAAAGTTAATTGTGAGAGGTTTGTATTATTCTTTTCCTTTCTTCCTTTTCTGAGTGAATATCAAGATAAAGTGTCCCTTTGTTTCCTAAGCATAGTTCTCTTCAGGCTGCATATCTCACCAGTGCAGATCTTATGCAACACAATATTTTTTGTAGAACCAGTGCTCTGAAAGAGCACTTCCATAGAAAGAGAGAGTATGTTGAGAGTTCTTTCTCTTGAAGATGTGCTGTCAAAATACATTGCATATCTTTATTCAGTTCAGTAGGTTGTCCACTTGAAACCAAGTTGTCTTGTGCCATATTTGCCTCCATATGCATGATGCACAAATGCTCTGGTGGTTTTGATTTTGGAAAGCATGCATGGCAGAAGATTTGTGGATTTACCTTGAGTGTAAATAAATAAATCAGAATAAAGTCAAAGCTACTCTAGAAATCACTTCCACATTCACATTGTGTGGAAAAACCTTTTGTTCTTCTTTCACAGAACATCTAGTATGTACTGTGAATAAGAATCTTCTGGGCTTCCAGATGTTTTAAGCTTTGACTTCCATTTGTTCCATCCAGTTTAGTCAATAGGGCTTGCGGGATCTTCTGTCCCCAAAATTGGGCAGGCAATATAGGCGATTTGATTTCCCTAGGCAGCCTGGAGAACGACCACTGTACCTGTTCTGTGGGAGAAGATTAATAAAGGTAGACATGTTGCCTTGCATGAAAGCTTGATTGTCACAATTAGTTTTCTTACATAGAATCCTTTGGTAAGTTCCAGGTTTATGAAACTGCATTAAGCTAAGAGTATAAGAATTCTAGGCTTTACCCTTTTTTGCCAGCCAGGAACTTGGCACACAAACTTTGTCTCCAAGTAACAGATAAAAGAGTGGAGAAGCTGAAGTTCCAACAGAAGGTAGCAACATACAGGTTGTGATATTGAAGGGTAACTGGCAAGCTCTACACCAGTGGTCCCCAACCTTGGGCCTCCAGATGTTCTTGGACTACAACTCCCAGAAGCCTTCACCACCACCTCTGCTAGCCAGGATTTCTGGGAGCTGAAGTCCAAGAACATCTGGAGGCCCAAGGTTGGGGACCACTGCTCTACACCCACAATAGAGTCCTTTCTCCTTTCCTAACAGATGCTAAACAAACCTCGGCAGAAGCTGCAGTTCAGAAAGCAATTTAGAAAACTGCTCATTCATTCAAGTTGTTACAGTGCAATCCTGATCATATCTACTTAGGATGGGGCAGGGAGCTTTTGACCTCCCACATGTTTTGGCCCACATCTCCCATAGTGCTCTTACAACCGGCCAAGTTGGCTGATGTTTCCGGGAGTTAAAGATCAAAATATATAAGGTTTCTCACTCTTAAACTGGAAACAAGTCTCACTCAGCTGGAATTTCTGTGATGTAGTGGAGGATTGCAGACATTGCCAGCCAGAATTGGATTCAGGCTAAGATCAGAAATAAGATTTTAGGAACTAATACCCATTTCTCACTTAATGCTAGGAATATTCGGGGGGGCGGGGTGGGGGAGGGGAGATGACTAAAAAGGCTGCCTGTTTTGCCTGTTTCCAGGGTGGAAGAGTAATGAATGGGCAGACTTGTTTCTGATGCTGTGCATAGTGCTGCTGTTTGGCACAGGGCGACAAGCTTCAATTTGTGCTTGAAGGTCATTCCATGTACCTGCAGGAGCTTCTCTGTGTCACAGCTACTGAGCTGTATAATATCATGCTGTCAACCAAAGGGTAGAAATTAAAGTGACTAACCTACTAGCCAAAAAAAGAGAAAGAAATAAAAAAAAAGTTCAAAGTAAAACTTTGTTCATACTATTGTTGGCTTCATTTATTTATTTTTGTGGTATATGGTTAAAAAAATTTAGAACACAATTTTCCATGAACTTGATAAATTAATGTTGTTTGTTACAGCTTTTTTTAAAAAGTGTTGCTTTGAATTGTAAATAGATGACGGGAAAATGATGTACAATTTTTTTTTTTGGTAAGGCTTCAAATGTTTAATCCTGGGGGGAAAAACTCAAGCATATATTGGTTGCTGTTTTGCTGCTTTATCCCCAAAACCCTCTTATTTCTCTCCTTATTTTTGTATGGTGATATATTCTATGCAAATGATCGAGCAAACAGCTGTATCGTTGATAGAGATTGAAATGGTTTATATATAAAAAGACAATTTTTGACAATAAAAAAGTGCCTAAAAGCATTTCTTTGTATGCAAATATGTTCAAGGTTTTGGTAGAAATCTTAAATCATCAACCTGTAATAGATCTCTAGTTAGGTGCATTTGTGTTTCTAAACTGTCTTAGAGCAATCTCACTGCCATGATTCCAGCCCATGGAATACTGGGATTTGTAGTTTAGTAAGCTATTTCGGATTCCTGCTAGAAAGCCTGAATACTGAAGTTCAGGGGAGTGCTCTAACCCTCTGAAACAAGCACACTAAATACCTCACCAAACAGAATTCCATATCCTGGAGCCATTACCCTAAAACAGTATCAAGTGGATTTGTGTAGTAGAGATACTGTACTTTCATTCACTGGCGATAAACCTTAAGTGTATGAAGGAAGCAGCCACACTCCCTTGCACTCTTGCCAGAAACATGACTCTTTGCTCTTTTATGAAGTACACTTTGCCTTAGTTTGTGCAACTCCTGAGACAGTGCAGTTCTTCACATAGAGAAGACTAAACAGAGTCTTCCACCCATGTGGAGATAAACGCACATATAAAGAAAGAGTTCCAGACTCTAGTAATCGTGTCCTTCCCTGTGACCACCCTGTGACCAGTCATTTTGAGTGGAGTGCTCATTTCATAGACAGATTAACTTGTGAAAACGGGAAAGGGCACAAGTATCTTCCCCAGTATTTGAGCAGAT